GAAGGGAAAAAACAAATCGTTTAAATAGGGATACAGGTGGACCCATTGCAACAATGAGATGTACAAGTTGTTATGTCGAAAAACGAACTTTACAACTTTGGTGGGGGGGACTTAGGGGGGCGGGGGAGTATAGGAAGGGATGGGAAGGGGAAACAAAGAGGAAGCAACAATGCTTGATAAGAAATGTACTCGTTATCTTGTAATTGTAATCCCTCTGTACGGAATTTTCACAATAAAAGAAAAAGAAATTTAAAAAATTCAGGTGGACAAAAATGCTACTCAAGATTTTTCAAAGATTAGGTTAAGTAATGAAGTTTAAGAACAAAGAGGGCATTTCTATCACTTTAAATAAACTTAACATGTATTTAATATATCCAAATATTTAAATATACAACTATATAGTATTCATATGACAAAATTATAAATATATTATTAAATATATTTTATTATTGGTATTAAATATCTGTAATAATATATTTGATAATATATATTTAAAGTGATGGAAATGCTCACCAATCAGATTTAAATAGTCAGACATTTTATGAATATTTATAAATATTTCAATGACTCATAAATAATCAACAAAAGTTTGATTTTCATTACAAAGTTACAAATTGAGAATTTTTAGAGATACTGCTTGAGTCTGACCCACAGGGATCAATCAAATGGACAGCCCTCGTTTTTAGGAACACTAATCACCTAGATGATTGAATAGGCATTTTTGGATCCTTTGAGCCCTTAAGGTAGTCACACTATAAATTCCAGATAATTTTCCTAATCAGAGTAACCTGTTTTCCATCTCTCTTTCTTTTTGTACTAGCTTTTGTGAAGACCCCAAAGTGAAAGTGTAATCTACCATGCAAATAATGAAAAAAGAGTGTCTGGTTCATTCTTTTCATGAACTCAAGAGAAATCAGGTCAAGTATAAATGAGAGGCAGAGGTAACAACTCTGGGATACCTAGCTGGTTAGCAAAGAAAAAATTTGAAAAGACAAGAATTGACATGTCTGCTAAGGCCAGAAAAACAATAGAAAATTAGAAGGAAAATAAGCCTATAGAGTGGAATTGAACATATCTGAACTTCATGATGTACATAGCTGAATATTGCTGCTCTCCCACAATGCCCTAAAAATCAGTTTTAGAAATTTGCTTCTGGCAAACAAACAAACAAAGAAATCCAATATTTCACCATTCAGATGTCCAACTTGAAAGACCTCTGTGTTTGCCAAAGAAGTCTAGAAAATATATTGTGATTTGGAGTGAGTAAGAGGATAGAAGTCTTCCTGTTCTCATGTCAATGGGCTTTTGCATTCAAAATTCCTATGCTAACCAGACCCATTAGGAATGAGCCACCACACTCTGATGCAGGTACTTCCTCCTGGGTCACCAGAAACAATTAAGGCTCAGTAAGATCCTATAATCATGATTACTAAGAATACACAGGAAGTACTGTATATGAGACACAAAATGTCATGTGACAGTTTTCTTTGAGGAACTAGAAAAAGGATACCTTAGCAAATGTTTTTGTAAGAAATGACACAATTGCTTACAAATCAGGAAAAGGAAAACCATGTTTTCTTTACATCTTGGAAAGTGGAACGAGGAAAATAAACTGGATTAGTTTATTAACACAAACAACAAGGAAAGAATGTCATAGATAATGACAGTTGACCCTTAGCAGGGTATAAAAGGGCATCAGGGTCAGAGAGACTTCCAAACTTTCCAGCCACAACTCCTTGAACACTAACTCAGAACCTCCATCCTCCAACACCATGGTCAACTCCTGTTGTGGCTCCACCTGCTCTGAGGAGGGCTGCTGCCAGCCCAGCTGCTGCAGGCCCCAGTGCTGCACCTCTAGCTGCTGCCGCCCCAGCTGCTGTGTGTCCAGCTGCTGCAGGCCCTGCTGCCAGTCTGTGTGCTGCCAGCCCAGCTGCTGTCGCCCCAGCTGCTGCCGCCCTACCTGCTGCATCTCCAGCTGCTGTAGGCCTTGTTGCCAGCCCAGCTGCTGCCGCCCCAGCTGCTGCATCTCCAGCTGCTGCAGGCCTTCTTGCCAGTCCGTGTGCTGCCAGCCCTGCTGCCGCCCCAGCTGCTGCCGCCCCAGCTGTACTAGCTCCAGCTGCTGTGGCTCCAGCTGTTGCCGCCCCAGCTGCTGCATCTCCAGCTGCTGCAGGCCCCAGTGCTGCACCACCAGCTGCTGCAGGCCCCAGTGCTGCATCTCCAGCTGCTGCAGGCC